GGNNAAACGNTTGCTGGGTTTCCCAATTGTTGCTGGATTTTTCGTGGATGCTGTTGAAATGTTTTTTCGCAAGTGATTGAGAGTTTTTCTTAGGAAGTTTTTATTTTGGGGCATTTAGAATTTTTCAAGGAGTGAATGCATGTATCCTGCTGGTATGGACTTTCCTCGCGAAGCTGGGATGGTGTTGGTTCCAACGAGGTTTGTGTGGCCTTATGGTGGCAGAATTGTGTATATCGCCGGCTCATTTACAGGGTGAGAGTTTTTGTCGTTTTGATGTTTCATTATACCATCCTGTTGAGTTCGGATTTTTATTTATTTGTTCATTTTTCTAATTTATTTTATCATGTAGAATCCTTTTCTTTCTTTCTTTCTTTTTTTTTTTTTTTTGGTGATTTGAGGTGTTACTGTTAAGCTACTTATATTGTTGATGTTTATTCATTATTTTGTTTTATAGGTGGACACAATGGCCGATGACACCGGTTGAGGGTTGCCCTACTGTGTTTCAGACGATTTGTAGCTTGCCGCCTGGTTTTCACCAGGTTGGTGGTCTTAGTTTTGAAGCTCTCTAGGGTTACCTTTTTCCTAATGAAAAATAGAATGCTTGCTTGAGGTGATCTGATTCTCTATATCTTGAATGGAATAACATTAATGTTATTGCTAAATTGCTATTGATTAACAATTGATTTTGTCTGTAGAAGGATTCTATGTTTTCTGTCATATCACATGCAATTGGCGTGTGATGTCACGCGCTTTTGATGAATTCTGCTCTGTAAATCACTCGATCATGTGATCGTGCAGCTGATCGGTTACGAGATTTTGTCTCTATTCTCGCCTTCTTTTAGTTGCCCATATTTGGCCTTATGTTTGTGTTGTCGAGTTGTTATGGATAAGGTGGGAAAGTCACCGACTTTTAACACATAATTAATTTATTTCCATATAAGAATAAAATAATAAATGATTTTAGTTGTTCAAGCAATTTTCTAAAATGTTCTAGGCGGGATTCTTAATGTGTTCTGACAGTCGTAGTATGTGTATTAGATTCTCTGACACTTGTATTGTCGGCACACTGTTTAGATGCCATTGCTCTAAAGTCAAATAAAAGCTTTAAAACTCACTTCCCAGAAGAGCTCAGTCGTAGTATGTGTATTAGATTCTCTGACACTTGTATTGTCGGCACACTGTTTAGATGCCAATGAACTGACCGTTACTGCATAAGTGCAAGAAATTTCTTAGGTTAATAATTAGCCTAAAAATAAAGACGCATGTGCTAGTGGCAGGATTCTAAGTGCATACATTGGTTTGATAGAATAATAGCAGCGTATTTAATGGTTTTTAAGATTCTGTTTGTTATAGGAAAGCTGAATATTCTCAAGTTACGTGTATGATTATAATATCATGTCATAACTAGAACCATTGTTCAAAATATCCTGATAGGTCATAGGCATGAGACTTAACTTGGCTGCCGATGTGTTTCCTTCATATTGGTCTCGTATCCATTCCTTGTCGGTCTGACGCCTGCCTTTGTGCCTCGGCATCTCAGAACACTGACTAAAACTTGTGTACAATTTGGACAATTAGCATGTCTACAGCTTGAGAAGTAGATGTAAACAACCCTAAGAAGAATATATGGATGCATGTGTCCAGTGAGAGTTGTTTGTTTCTTTAAAATTTGTTTGATTCGATGTCCTATCTTATAGTACGTTTTTTTTTTTTTAGTTACTGGGGTATTGGAGGGGACAGAATTCTAAATACTTAAGAAACTGAAAGGCATAGAATCAAACCTTGTATCAAACAATNTTTTTTTTTTTTTTTTTTAAATTCCCTGATGTGAAAAATTACTTTCAGATATTTTTGTCAGTGTTATCAAATGGCTGCCATGGCGGTATGGAGTGGTGGATTTCTGACCATCCGCCATGGCGGTCAGTTTGGCGGAATTTTGGCAAACCGCCATGTACCACCATCCGCCATTAAGAACACTGATTTTTGCTCATAAACATTTCTGGACTTGACAATGCACAACTTTGTACACTTAAGCTTGTAACTATGGTTCACTACAAACTAATGTCGTTGAGTGACTAAACAGTAATATGCTTTTGGCTGGAGAAAAATGTTTTCAGAAATAGTGTATTTCTGAGGAGTCACTCTGTTCAACTATATCTTTGATATAGGGTCAGAATGTAATATTTTATCTACACGTGAATTTGTCAGAAAAAAAATTATGACTTCAATGGAACAATAGCTCGTGGATTTCAATGTCATTTTTATGAAGCGCCCTTTTCTTCTTTCTGGCAGTACAAGTTTATGGTTGATGGTGAATGGAGGCATGATGAGCGCCAGCCTTTCATTAGTAGTAACATTGGAACAGTGAACACTATCCTCTTAACTAGGGAACCTGATTACGTGCCTCCAGTGCTGGGCTCAAGCATGGATGTTGACGATGCCTTCCAGCGCATGGTATATTTTCAATATACTCATCAGTACTATCCCACAGGTGTCTTATTTTTAATTTCTTCTCATGTGGAAGTTTTGAATTATTTTTTATGTAAACATAAGTGGTAATAAGAGAATAAAAAATTTAACAATGAAAAACTTTCATGCTCCCTAAGTTAGCTTTTTGCATATCATGTTTGTTAAATCTTTCCCTGCTTAGTCATCGTTCCTGAGCACGTGCCAATGAAAACCCTAGAATTAATTTTGGCTTGTGCCTTCAACTTCATGACTGTGTAAAGGAAATATGGAAGCATATTGGGTTATAAACGAAAATTTAAGTGCAGTTCATTTAATCATCTTACAATTCAGGCATTATTGTCTACCAAATTTATTCAATTTATTGCCATTTTCAAATTTGGTTCACATAAAATGAAAAATATTTTGCATCTACATTGGTAATCAACCATAATATAGTCTGTTATGTTGATAATAGAACTTGTACACAGGTTCGTGAGTCAGATGGAAGATCTCCAGAGGCCTTCCCGACTTTATCAGAGACAGATTTAGAGATATCCAGGCACCGTGTTGCTGTATTCATGTCTACACACATGGCTTATGAGTTGCTACCTGAATCTGGAAAGGTATTGATGGTCCTCTCTCTTTTCCTATTAATTTTCTGGCCGAGCTCAATCTATTTGGTTCTTGTGCAGGTTATTGCTTTGGATGTTGATTTGCCTGTGAAACAAGCGTTTCATATTCTTCATGAGCAGGTATCTTTGCTAGTAATTAAATTTAAATCTATTACTGTAAATTTATCTTTGCATAATCTAGATTTGTGAATTTTTTCTTAAAGTAGTAACAGAAGCACATTTAATCTTGCCCTGGCAAGGCATTGTGTTTGTTGCATATGTAGCCTGTCATTTCTTTCTGATGCTCTTTGTTCACCTAATTAGTTTTTAGTATATTTATAATCGTTCTGAACCATCCGTTGTTTTTTAGGGTATCTGTATGGCGCCGTTGTGGAACTTCGCCAAGGGAAAATTTGTTGGAGTTATCAGTTCATTGGACTTTATTCTGATTATGAGAGAGGTAGATGAAATGAGCCTTCTGCCTTTTCTTATGCGACTCGGTTTCTTATTACCTGATTGATGATGTTATTTTATCAAATAACTTGCTTTCATTGTTTAAATGGTGTCCTGAATTACTTCAGTCTTGTGTCGAAATTTTAAGAAATGTCCCAGAAATTATTCCCCGTTATTTGTAGACATGCTTTATTTTGTGGTCACCTCCAATTCTACTATACATTTGGTGCCTTCATTCTACTTGATCACAGTGTTTATTAGAAGTCGAAAAGATGTTGGGACATCTTTCTCATAATCACTTAAGATTGTTTGAGAATCTTGATAATGTTTCACCAACTCGTCTTCATTAGCATGACAAGAAGAATTCGTGTCTGATCTTATTTAATGTGACTTGATAATGAATGACCTGCAATTGAATCTGACCTGACATTATTGTTAATGGAACTACCTTCAAAATAAGTCATCATATCGTTGTGGAACTACCTTCAAAATATTGTTAATTGAATCTGAACTTTGTTTCTTGTATATATCGTTGTGGATGTTCTTTTTCTAAAAGATGATTGATATTGCTACATTCAAAATAAAGTGTTATACAAAAGTGAAGTCTTTATTTTGACCATATGCTTCT